CCCCTACCCTCGGAGAGCTGCTTCCAGCTGAGGCAATCTTCAACTTCCTCCTGCACGCCGCCGGCGGAGGTGTAGGGTTTCGGGTTGAGGAGTTCAGTTCCGGTTGAGGGTTGAGGGTTTAGGGTTAGGGTTTAGGGTTTAGGGTTTAGGGTTTAGGGTTTAGGGTTTAGGGTTTAGGGTTTAGGGTTTAGGGTTTAGGGTTTCAGGGCTCAGGGTTAAGGGTTCAGGGTTTGAGGGTGGAGGTTGAGGGTTGAGGGTTGCTGGGCTACCAAGTTTCACAGTTGCATGTCCAGCTTCGCAGCACAGCAGGGTTGAGGGCCCAGGCGTGAGGTTTAGGGTTTAGGGTTTAGGGTCTAGGGTTTAGGGTTTAGGGTTTAGGGTTTAGGGTTCAGGGTTTAGGGCTTAGGGCTTAGGGCGTAGGGCTTAGGGTTTAGGGAATTGGAGGCCTGGCTCCGCAGCAAAGCATGGCCACTACTGAACCCTGGTTTAGGGTTTAGGGTTAGGGTTTTAGGGTTGAGGGCCTACAACACCTCTATGCCCATACAACTCTCTACCCCATAATCACTAGATAAACGCTGCAAACCCTGCAAAACCTCTATATTCTTATACTACTCTCTACGTACCCCATAAACCCTAGATAAACACTGGAACCTTCCCTAGAAGCCCTATAAACCCTGGCCCTAAACCCGAAACCCTGAACCCTAAACCCTAAACCCTGAACCCTAACCCTAAACCCTAAACCCTAAACCCCAAACCCTGAACCCTGAGCCCTAAACCAAGCCCACAAGACCTCGAAACCCGTTGAGTTAGGGAGTCAGAGTCTGGATGCACTTGGACCTGAGTCAGGCCCCCAAAACCTTGAAGGTTTAGGGTTTCGGGTTTAGGGTTTAGGGTAAACCTAAACCCCAAACCCAAGACCCAAGACCCAAAACCCTAAACCCTAAACCCTAAACCCTAAACCCCATCCCAGACGACTCGTCGAAGGCCGAGCATGGAGGGCACGCAACTGAAGTTGCCTCATCGGTGTTGCTCTTGACGGGGCTTCCTTCTTGTTCAAACCCTAAACCCGAAACCCAAAAGCCCTGAACTCTAAACCCTAAACCCTAACCCTTCACGCTAAACCCCAAACCCTAAACCCTAAACCCGCAACCCTAAACCCAAAATCTGTATTTCAAACACCAAGAATAGCAGGAAGAGGAAGAGCTCGAGGATGGAGGGCTTGTTATGGGCCATCATCCCAAAGCTCCCCAAACTACTAAACCCTAACCCTTGTACCCCAAAGTATGTTTAAAATAATGGTCCGTTTATAGGTTTGGGGGGGGCTGCTGTTTGCATACTTTGAGGGGGTTCCATGTAACCCTAAACCCTAAACCCTGAATCCTAAACCTTGCAAACCCTAACAGGCTGCCACCAAGCCGCAGGAAGACCCTGAGGGGGCGTTGCACTGGGAGTCCTGCCGCAAGAAAGGCGTCAGTGAAGCGGAGGTTCAGAGTTTTTGGTGTTAGGGTTAGGGTTTAGCGTTTAGGGTGTAGGGTTTAGGGTGGGGATCCTTTTGGAAGAGCCCGCCAGGAGGACCCTTATTCAGAGAACTTCCCGCATGATGAGCATGTTTAACCCGAATGACCTCCCAAACCATAAGCCGCTCAACTAAGCCCCATGGTACTTATTTACCAATTATTCCTGTACTTGTAGCCCACTTGTAAGCCCCTTAAGTGCCCTAATGTGCTTATAAGTACAGTTAGAAGTACAGTCGTAATTGTTCGATAAGTACCATGATCCTCCAAGCAAACCTTAAACGGCTTCCTTTCTTGCAGGGCTAAACCTTACTAAACCCGAAACCCGAAACCCTAAGCCCTAAACCCTAAACCCTAAACCCTAAGTCCTAAACCCTACGGCAGCCACCCCGGGCGACCCTATGATGGGTACCTTGGCTGCTTAGAGTTGTATAGGGTTTAGGGTTTGGGGTTTAGGGTTTAGGGTTTAGGGTTGTACTTGGAAATTCATGGGTACTTGTAACCCTAATTATAGCCTACTTAGAGGACTTAGTGGTACAGTTCTAACTGGGGTTACAAGTACCCTGAACCTCCAAGTGCTTGTGAAGCCACACTTTGGGGAAAAGGGTTGGGATTTAGGGCTTCGTGTTTGGGGTTCATGAGTACTTATGAACCCAATTTAAGCTGCACCTATGACTACTTATAACCAGGTATCACCATATTGGGGTGCTTAAGGTAGGTCTCAGGAGATCCTAATAGCTGCAACCCTGAACCCTAGACCCTACACTTACCGTTGGTGAGCAGGGAATGAGGGAGTGAGGGCCCTACATATACCCTTTAAGGGATTCTATACAGCACCTCGGATTCCCTCATTCCCTACTAACCCTACTAACCCTACTAACCCTACTAACCCTAATAACCCTAAACCCTAAACCCTAAAGACCCTAAACCCTAAACCCTAAATGCCCATGAGGACGCCAGCCGTGGCAAGATCCCTGTGTCTGTGACGGTCGGGCGAAAGTTCAGCGTTGGGGGGCCCACTTCTCTCACGATGCAGCTCGGCTGCATATGGTTTAGGGTTTAGGGTTTAGGGTTTAGAATTTTAGGGTTTAGGGTTTAGGGTTTAGGGTTCAGGGTTTAGGGTTTAGGGTATCGCGGTCCGGGCTTGGGGGTGTGGGGGCAACTAGCCGCATGGAAGCACAGAAGCTTGTGTCCGTACTCCGTTTGATAGAGGGAAGTCGGCACCCCGTAAAGTCCGTACAGGTGCCCCCTAAACCCCCCTAACTCCACATCCCGTACCCATTCGACCCTATAAACCTAAACCCTAAACCCTAAAAGCCTAAAACCCTAAAACCCTAGGCCCTAAACCCTAAAACCGGGCTTCTAGGGTTCATGGTTTTAGGTTTTAGGTTTTTTTTTTTAACCGGAATCACCTATTGCTGCGCACAGGTGATTCCGGTTAAAAAAAAAAAAAAAACCCTAAAACCTAAAACCATGAACCCTAGAAGCCCTAAACTCTAGGACCCAGGTTAGTGTTTCCGCGTTCTAGACCCAGGGCTGCCTAGACGCCCAAAAAGTAGTTCCCTCTTTTTGGGGTTTGGTTTACGGCTTAGGGTTTACTTCCCAACATGAGTGCATGCTGGAACCATCTCACGGCGAGAGCGGTGAGCATGGGCTGATAGGGTTTGGGGTGTAGGGTTTAGGGTTTAGGGTTTAGGGTGCGGAGCTGCAGTTGGTATTGTAGAAAGGAGTTGGTATTGGAAGTTGAAGGGTCAATGCACCCGGTAATCTTATGGCTCAAGCCATGACCAAAGCGGTCGAAGGTTTCGTAAAAAGTGTGCCCTTGGTTTGGGGTCTTGTTGTTTGGTTGTTGGTTGTTCCAGGCGAATTAAGGGCTTCTGTTGGGGTTGACTGTTTTGTTCCCTGTCCTCCTTCGGTTGCCCCCCGTAGGTTATGAGCCCAAAATTAGGCTTCCTGCGGAATAGGTAAAGATTTTTCGTTTGTTTAACGCCATGGACATGATGCGGCGTCGCTCTGAGCCTGGACTGTCGCCAACGGCCAATGAAGCCGAAGGAAATCGTGGTGATGGGGGTGAAGATCGACAACAAATGGTACAAGCGCTGACAGATGGTAGGGAGGTTGCAATGATACAACCAACGCCTCAGGTGGAAAACGAAGTGGTTCCGGTTCAAGCAGCAAATCCTTTCTGGAGCGAGCGGGCTCAAGAAGAAATGAGACTTAGGCAATCAAGGCCGGCAAGTCTTCCCGCGAGCGGAGGGGATAGAAGTGGTGAAGGTACGAGGAGGCCGCCTTCGCTGCAAGATCTTTTGGGTCAGGAACCTGCACCTGTTGAGAGACCATCGTCAGGCTTAATGGGCCAAATGGAGCGAGGTACTATTGGTGGAGTGCAAGCCGACGAAGAACTCATTCCTGATGTTAGTGGTGAAGAGCAAACTGAAGATATGGCGGTGGTAAAGCGTGCGCTGAAAGAGTTGCTTGTGCAGACAAAGGAGCTGGGGAACAGGTTGCATCGGGTGGAGGAGAAAAGCTATACCTCTGCTGCATCTGGGTCAGCTTCAAGGGCACGGAGCTCTGGAGTGGTGGACGCAAACACTGCATATCCTCTAGGAATGACTCCAGAGAAGCAGTACCTGCCAGGACAAGTTTTCTACACGGATGGTATAGGTGGTTTTTGGACTGTGTTGCCGGATGGGACATGGCTGCCTATTGAGGGTTACGACCTGCCAAAGGGTTGTGATCTTCAATCCTTGCCTGGGTCCAGGAAGGGGGATGTTCAAGTGGAGGATGAAAAAGAAGTGCCAATGATGCATGTAGCTGAAGGGAAGAAACCCTCCAGATTGCCTCCATTGAATTACCCCACGGGAGGTCCTGCAAGTGGTGGATATGCAAGTGGACCACCTGGTTTAACACATGTTCCGATTACTTCCGTGCCGTCAGGTGTTGATGGTTCTGCCGCACCTGTGGGGAACCAGCCCGGTTTTGTTTCAGCTCGGGAAACTGCAACGCAAGAGAACTCAGCAGGATCGGGTGGATATACAATGGTGGATGATGTTCCGTATCGGTGGAAAATGGTCGCTGGGAAGTTGGAACTAGAAAAGGTTCCGCTCACAGCTGTTACGCCTGGTATAGGACATGGACTACCTCAAGGGCCTGGTGGTAGGGTCAGTTTACCTCCTGGAGCAGTGGTGCCACGTGGTATGCCAATCACTGGTGATAGTTCTGGAACCGAACGTCCGGAGGCTCTCGGGAAGCATGTGATGAGCCTTCCAACTTTGGCAGACTACACACCAAGCAATCCGACGGCACTGGGTGATTGGATCGCAATGATCGAACCAATGTTGTCTTCGCTGACAGATACAGGAAGAGTGTGGTGGCAATGCGTCTACTCAAAGGCATATCAAGCGTATGCCAAATGGTTGAGTGTTTCTCCGCTGGAAAGGTTGGGCATCAAGGCTGAGCTGGAAGGGCTCAAAGTGGTTCAAACTGTGCATGTTTTGTTGGAGCAGAGAGCGGTGTCTTTGCTGCTACAGGCGATCCCGGAGAGATTGAAGACCGAGATCGTTTCCACTCGAATGTTGGGGTCAGTGATGATATTCTACAAATTGCTGACGGTCTACCAACCAGGTGGAGCAAATGAGCGCAGCACAATGTTGAACTTCTTGGTGCAACCATCTCCAGCAACCTCGATCTCAGAGGCCATTAAGGGAGTGCGTCAATGGGCGCAATGGCGTTCCCGATTAAGGGAGTTGAGAGCGGCCGAGCCGGACGCTACCTTGCTTATCAAGGGATTGGATGGTTTATCATCCGCGTTGCTGGCGAAACACCCTACGGTTCATTTCAGAGTGGCATCCTTTCGGGAGAAATTGGGGGTGGACTACTCGCCGACCTCTGAAACTGCGACAAAACTAGCTGAAATGTTACAGGCAGAGTTTGAACTGCTACTGCATAGTGCTGGTGAACAAGAGGTGAAGCAGGACTCGGACGCCAAGAAAAGGGCCAGGTTAAACAAGGCCCAAAAGGGAACTGGTGACGAGACGGAGGAGGGTGACAAAGGCAAAGGGAAAGGAAAAAGGTACAGCGGAGATGGTGAACGTCCTTTCTGTTGGATATATGGGAAGACCGATGCAGGTTGCAAGTTCGGATCCCGCTGCAAATTTCGCCATGACAAAGACTCCCTTGAGCGAGGAAGATGTTTTGAATGTGGGGCCGTTGGCCATTTACAGCCGCAATGTCCATACAAAGATGGTGTAAGTTCCAATGCGGACTCAAATCCTGAGAGGAGTAGATCTAAAGGGAATTCTCCCAAAGGGGGAAAGGGCGGCAAAGGTGCGAAATGGGGAAATGCCAAAAAGGCAGAGGTAGCTGAAGGGGGAGATGAGACGGCTAATGCGGGATTGGATAAAGGTTCTGCAAGTCCCTCATCGCCATCAACGGCCAATCAGGTCCTTGTTGAAGCGTTAGAAGTGCTGAAATCTATGAAGCTGTCATCAGAACAGTCGGCATCAAGCGGGGATCCCAGTATTCGAATGTTATGTGGCTCTGGGCTGTTTCAGCAGGAAGGGAGAGTGGCATTGGTGGATACAGCTGCTACGCATCTTGTGCGGACGCTTTTTCCATGGGAATGTTTACCAGACACTACTGTTATGGTGCAAAGCGCGCTTGGTGGTGTGACAATGAGGATTACAGAGAAAGGGACGTTGATTAGGGAAGACAATGGGCCCCTGATTATCCCTCTCTGGTTGATTCTGGAGTTTGGGGCGAACCTCACTGTGATCAATGGAACGTGTCACATGGGTGCAAAATCTTCGCTGGACCAGCTCTTGTGGTTTGAACATGGCTGTTTGGTTATGGATTACAAAACAGCTGAAAAAATGGTTTTGCATGCTGAAAGGCAGCGTGCGTCTTGGTCCCATTCTCAATGGAGGAATGGAAGGGCGGACTGTGGAGTCGGTTCGTCGGATGCCACGTTGTTGCCGAAGCAGGGAGAAGGCCGAGGAGTATGCGTTCTACATGTGGCCAGGGTTTCTGACACCAATGAGTGTTCGGGAATGGGCATGTTGGACTCGGGAGCATCACATCCTCTCAGATCACTTCGTCCTGGTGAACAGCTTCCGCAGCAAAAGGTGTTGGTGTCTTTAGCTGTTCGGGAGATGTGTATTACCCCAGGTGGGACCCTGGTAACTCCTGAAATGGTAGATCCACTAGTGCCAATTGGCAAAGCGAGCGCCTTGGTTGGTCTCAGAGTTCAGTGGCGTGGTGGCAAGTGCACAGCCTCACATCCTGTTCTGGGAGAACTTCGCGTTCGTGATCTGAATGGGTGCCCTTGTTTGGAAAAGGAGGTGGCGCTTCAGATCATTGATGAAATGGATTGGTGTTCACCAAAGCAAGCATTGAAGGTGGCACGTATGGTTCAAGGGTGTCCGAATACGGACAACGAGGTGGCTGTAAAAACGTCGTTGCAAAGCGCAGCGCGGACAGCGTCAGCGAATGAGGAGGAGTTCGTCCAGGCATGCTGGAGATTTCTTCGGTGGTATTATGGGGATATACCAGAAAATATGCTGATGGAGCTGTTGCCACGTGGAGATATTGCGGCGTTGCCTTTCAACCGTCATAAAAGGAGACGGCTGGCACGAGCAAAAAGGGTGGTGGTACACCTATTTTCGGGAAAACAAAAATGGCATTTTCCCAGTCGGGATGTGGAGGTACTGGAGCTGGATTTGAAGAAAGGCGGTGACCTACATAATTCGAGCGTCTGGAAGTATCTTCTGCATCTGGCGGCTGAAGGAAAGGTGGTTGCTGTGGTTGGAGGACCTCCATGCAGGACAGTGTCAAGGTTGAGAGGTGAAGACGGTGGTCCACCTGTATTACGCCGACGCTGTGGGCCTGAACGGTTGGGATTAAAGAGTCTTCCTTGGCCACATCAAGAATTAGCTCAAAAGGATGGTGTTTTACTTCTGAAGATGCTTTTCCTATATGACGTGGCGGT